CACGACGGCGCCCCAGGCCCCGGAGGAGGCGGCCGTGCAGACGAGGCCGCTGCGCAACCTGGTGGCCTACCTGAAGCAGAAGGAGGCGGCGGGCGTGATCACCCTCAACTCCACCAGCAAGGAGGGCAACACGCAGGGGGTGCTGTACGCCTTCCCCCCCTGCGCCTTCTCCCTGGACCTGCTGCACAGGGTGTCCCCGGGGCTGACCGAGGAGACGACCCGGGACGACCACCTCGTCATTGTGATTGTGAGGGGGACTGCCACGTAGGCGGGACGGGAAAAAAAGCGCTAAGTGGGGAAAAAAAAGACTGGAAACTTCCTCGTTGAATCCGTGCGCTTGAACAAAGACTGCCTTATAGTCCCTGCTTTTTAAGTGTAGTAAACTTTTCACATGGAAGCCTATATTTTCCATAAATCAGTAATTGAATATAATAATCTTTACAACTGTATTGTACAATTTGTTAAACCATGTAAAAGAAAACTGTGAATTTTAAGAAACAGTTTGTGTTGTACAACAAAAAATTATGAATAGCATTATGTATGGTTTTCTTTTTTCTTTTTTTTTATTATTATTCAGATATTTTTTCTTTTTACATTTTATAAGTGAGTGTCTTAGACTAATATCTTCACCTGAAGTGTAAAAAAAAAAGTGTTTTAAATACAGTGAAGTAACCTGTGTCAGTGTTTGATTGTGTATGTGACCCTGTTGACTACAGTGTGGTGAATATTCCGTGTGTGGTGGCAGTGAAATGTGGTGTGGCCTGGATTCCTCTTCCCTTTTTTTTTTTTTACTCTAGTGCAGTGCTGTGAAGTGGCCCTTTTGTCTCTGTGCTTGGTGATGGATAAGCATTGTGCTTTTTTTGGCTCTTAGATTCAGTGATCTTACGTTGAGTTTAGTGCTTTTGCAGTGCCATATAAAATCAGAAAGGATTTTTCTTTTCTTTTTCTTTTTTTTACACCCATTTTTAAAGTTTTATGTTTTTATTTTTATCTTTTATTTATTTTATTTCTCTCCCCCTCCCCTCCCTCCACTGGTAATAGATTGTGTTCTCAGTAGGAAAAGGTCACCCATTTTTCCCCTCCTTGGAAGTGTTAAATCCCCCCCCCCCCCCTTGTTATAACAAAAAAAAAAAGTGCTGTGAGTGTTATGAAAGAAGCATCTCTAGTGAAGTGAAGCCTCCAAAAGTGCAGTGGCATGAAAAAAAATAATAAAATAAAATAAAAAGACCTAAGGAATAGCAGTGATTAGTGTAACAGTGATCAGTGCTGTGCTATAATTGGGAGGGAGAAGTGGTGGGCTCCTCGTTGGTCTGTTCCTTTTCTCTGTTGTGCTCGCGCCGTTCATTCGTGTGTCTCTCTCTCTCTCGTCTTGCGGGGGGGGGAGGGGGTGGTGTCCAAAATGAGGCCAAAACGGTACTTAAAAAAAAAGTTTCATAATTCAATTCTTTCCAACCTAAATTAAAAAAAAGAAAAGTCAGGGGACCTACACTTATCTGGGCATTAATTTTTTTTTTAAACTCTTGCACCCAAATTTTCTTTCTTTGATTTTGCTTTCCAGAATAACTAACTCCAAACCAAAAAAAAATATTATGTCCAAGAGGGTGTGCTTGCTCAAATCAGATCAACTTGGCCGCTGGGTTTCTAGGAGTGTTGCAGATCTCCGTGTGGTTCAAAGTGCCAGGGAATAAAAGACTCAAAAGTGCCTAGTGGTGATTAGATTTTTTGCAGTGATTGTGCTTGGCTCAAATTTTTTTTCCAGTGATTGATGTGAAGGAAATCAGTGCAGTGAGATTTGCTTTAGTGGATATGGATGCTCGTCAGTGTTTCTTGAAATTGTGAATTCCAGTCAGTTACAGTAAAATTTACAGCAGTGCAGTGCAGTGATAATTTTTAATACTACAATAGAGTACCAGTAAAAAATAACAAAATTTTTAAAGATCTTCAAGTCATCACCCCAAAAGTGCATTAGTGATCTGGTTCTGGGGAGATTTAAATGAAAGAAAATTAAAAGCATGGGTTCATTAAAAATAATCTGAAATGTAGATATAGATGTATGTATATATATGCATATATATAAACATGTATACTGTATATATTTACATGTATATATAATCTACATTTATAATATATATAAAGTCCATAAACTACATATTTATGCATTATACATGAATACATACTGATGGATAATTACATAAGCATACATCAGCACACACACTGGCATACATACACACAAGTACACACACACACGTACACACACACACACATACTTTATATATATGTATAAGATTGAGTGAATTAATATTATTTTGAGTGCAACTGTGAATTGGTAAGGGAAAGGCAATCTTCAGGGGAATCAGTGCTTCTAAATACTAGTGGATTAATGCAAATTCAGAATGAAATACATCAATATTAATAATAATAATAGTAATAATAATAAAAAAAAAAAGTGCAGTGACAAGGGTTGGTGTTCAGATCCAAATTGTAACGGGTTAAGTGATTT